CCTCCAGAGCACAGCGATGCATGGGACATTTTATCAGAGGTTTGTTTGTGTCAAACACAGGACACACCTGTCTGGCCTTTTGAAAGGACAAAGCATTATGGAACCCCCGGACTTGGACCAGTAAATCCTGGATTTATGAGGGGCATGGGTAAAGTTTCTCCCACAGTGGATGAAAACGCAGCCTTCAATCATAGAAATGCAACACATTCCAAGATTTCTTTTTACAATACTCGGAATAATTCAAGTGTGAGTTTCCAAATCATTGTGGGAAAGCAGCTGCACTATCTCTGGGTTTAATCACCGCCTCTTCTCCACCGTTCCCAGCTCAGTGTTGCAAATCTACTTATTACAGGGCTTAATCTGGATTTCGTTATTCAGGGAGAAAATCTTTTTGCCTGGATCCATTTAACACAAACCTTTCTCCATGATTAGCAAAATAGACTAAATCCAGTAGCTGTCCCCTCATTCTTCATTTACCATGTAGAAACAGCTGCTAAAAAGGTGCAGTTAATCAATAAGGTCTGTTTGTCAAATGCAATTCTACAAGATGGAATCACTGTTAAAAAGTCTTCTGTATTCCCTTTATACATAACAGTGTTTAAAAGAGTTATAACTTAGAATAGAATAGAAAGTAATAATCATAATCACATGATAGGGGCTAGAGTTAGGAAGTGACCTCATTTAGGATCCTATAGTGGCCTGAGGGCAGAGGCAGTTTCTGTCCTGTTGTATCTGCTATCTTCTTTCTAACAGCAGCAGGAAGAAAAGAACATTATGTGGGTGTTTGGGATCTGAAATGATTTTCCTAGCCCTATTCTTGCAGTGCTTGGTGTAAATATGCATTAGGCAGGGTAAGGCAATGCCTATTCTGACTGTTGAGCCTAACTAACAGCTCTTTGTCAGGCTTTGTGGTCCCGTTGAGTGTTGTTTACACCTTTCAGTTTGCACATACATTCAGTCATGTGCCTAATTTTACTGTATAAAACATGGACCTCAGTGACATCACCCATTGGTTTCTGAAGAGACATAATGAAGCGGTTGCCATAGTTGGAAATGCTCTTAACCTAATTTTAACACAGTCTAGAAACAGGCAAAGTGGTAGTGACGCTGTGGCTCAGTGGTAGAGTCGGTCGTCTGTCAACCAGAAGGTGGAGGCTCGATCCCCACTTCTGCAGCAACATGTCCGATGTGCGAGACACTTAACCCCAAGTCGCTCCTGCTGCTCATGAGCAATTTATGAATGTTTATGAATGGGATTAATTAATACTGATGGACACAACCTCTTCCATCAGTGTGTGAAGTGTAGGTGTGACCTTAGGTGTAAAAACGCTTTGAGTAGTCAAAGACTAGAACAGTGTTATACAAGCTCCATTTACTATTGCCAGAATTACCAAAATATTGGAATCTGTTCCACAAGGCATATCCTTTTTTGACAATGGTACCAAGGTGGGCCTAAAGCATCCTGACATACAGCTATGTGCATATCAGACTGTCGGGCAACTCTGGCACGCCCCTAATGATGCTAAATTAGAAGTAATTTGCTGTCAAAACGGATGAGTTTTGTTACCACATTCGTTTTTTTGAGCCAGGCTGTAAACATGTTTCTTTCTGCTGTAAAATGGGATTTCAATATGTGACCTAAATGGGGTTTCATTGGCTTTTGCAGGCAGCCTCAAGTGAACACTTGCTCACACTTGGTTTTTGCACTTCCACATTGGCTTCATTTCTCAACACCTTTTTACGACATAACTCGGAAAAACAAACCTCCACTGTCTTTGTTGAGTATTGACATGCTGCCATATTACATTCCATCAGGCATTTAATATCTTAAACCACAGATGTGTGAAAGATGTTTGTTCATCAAAAGATTACACTTATTTCTTTGAACAAATGTCTCTTGCACGCTTCAAAGCCTCGCTAAGCTATGTTGCCTGCAATTACAGTTTACTGCTGTTTTGTAGCAAATTTGACTGCCGCATTTCAGGGTCTTTATACCCAGGGCTCACGGTTTTGCTGCAAGCACCTGGTGAGTTAAAGGCAAGGCCAGGTGGTTCACAGCTTTGACTGCCAATTAGAGTGGTGACCATGTGAGCGCCGTCCAGGATAACGTCTAATTAACAAAGGACCTCTGCGGCATTACAATTAGCTTTCCTTCAAAAAACACACGAAAAGGATGCATGTCAAGCCCACCAACAAAATCATCTTTTCCTTTTCATTTGCAAAACTATACTCTACTGCGAACGAGCAATGCGTTTAAAAAAACATGAAGGAAGTAACCCTAATCCTGCAAAGTCTTGTAGAGTCAGAGCTAATGGATCAGCATACATATTGTACGAGTGAGACTCTACTGGAGAATGACGCCATTTTTCCAGACAAGGTCAGCGACAATGCAGGCCTGTCAACATGACAATAAAGAGAATAAAAAGGTACACAAGATGCTTTATATTGAGGATGATGCTTCAACAAACTGTGCTGTTGGACTGACGCACACTTTCAGCCCAACTGATCGTACCAGAGAACGATTAAGAAAGCGAGGGGACAATTTGTGGAGAGTGGCTCAGTTTGACAACAAAACAATGAAAGTCAAGGATGCATGTGTCCATTAAATTGGGGGAAAAAAGAACAAAACCTAAGGATCTTGTGAAATGGAGATGGCTATACAGTATAGCTGAGCTAGCCATCAGGAGGAAGACACATCAGCTGCACAGTACAGTACAGTTTTACATAATGCATCCATCCCTCTTGAAATGCCCCAGCTGTGGACTCCCTTCCTCCGCTCCTCCAAAGGCACCTGCCAATAAGAATTATCATACAAGCAGTGGCAGATAAAAGCCATGCAGTAATTTGACAAGCCTAATTACAGAAGTGATGCATAGTCTCGACATCACTGATTGCGCTTGGGAAAGATTAAGACAGCAATCACACGACGGCTGTCTTTGGAGCGGAGGCAGTCGTGCCTTTATTTTCATTTTGTAATCATCTGCGATAGCCTCCCAAGTATAGGTACAATATAGGAGGATCCTGCTTTTAGATGCCCATATAAAGTCAATACCATGTTTTCTCCTCATAGACTTGGGAGTATAAGAAGTCTGCTCATGCTTGGGGGGGAAAAAAAGCAAGAATGGTGCTGAGGTGTTTCTTGGACAAAAGCCAGAACTGTTAAGTGGAAACAGAGGGCAAATCAAAAAGCCAGGGAGAAGTCCAACGGGAAAACAGCGGAGGGAAAAGACAGTCTGTGACCAAGCTGGGAGGCCCTGAACAAAAGACACAAACTATTAGTGAAATGTTCCCGTACATGCTGCAGACCCTTGCAGACCACCACACGAGGGACTGGAAACATTTTTGTAGTTGCCACTCCACTCTTGGTCCCAGACCTTGTTGGAAAGCCGTGTACTTAAAGGGTCTGATTGGTTCTGTGGTGAGCCACGAGGATTCCTCTGTCTGGAGATGGGAGCCCGAATGCTAGAGCTGAATACCTGATTACAGTAAAGCCTGCACTGACTTAACTGAGCCTTTTCCACCACGACAGCTAAAGACTAGAGGAAATGCCTTGCAGGAAAATATCTTAAAAGTGGAAGTTGGAGATTGTTAGAGAAACTTGCAGAAACTTTGAATGAGACGTAAGACGCCCTTGTCGAAAGCTTTACAAATCTGTTCAGGGTAGCGTGCTTTAAAAGTGGAAACAGTAGCACGGCTGTGACTGCGGTTTCATCAGACTTTTCCTTGCAGCATGTCTTCATCTGGCTGGCAGCTGGTGAGAGTTGCCATGATTCACAGTGACTCATTGCTTCTCTCACACTCCATTGTTAAAAGGAGTCCACAAAGGTCTCCTTTCAAAGGAATCACAAAGATCTTTCAGATAACAAAGAATATACAGATGAGAGCCCGACTGAAGAGCATATTATCTTGATGATACACATCCCTCTCAAAAATAGCTGCTCTATCTCCTATAGTGTCACAAATGGCAATTGCTTATGGCAACTACCATTTCCAGATGTAATTGGCTTCCTTGATAATGGGTGCGACCAAAGCGCCCCATCTCCATCTCTGCCACTCTCCTCTCTAAATACTGCAGCACTGTCCCCCAAGGTCACACCACCCAATCTGATTGGAGACGTGATGAGCAAGCGGCTCAGCTAATGTATTCCACTTGCTTATTATTTATAATGGCGAGGAGAGGTTTCAGTGGAAAATTAACCAGCACGCCACAGACACCTTCATCACTAAATGAGGTGACATCTCATGCAAAATACACCACTGAGAGGATGATTTCAAAACTCATAAACCATGAACCAAGAGTTTACTCACTGGGATATTAAAGTGACAATGAAACACTGAGTGATTAGTATTTACAATGATTTTAAATGATTCCTCTTAGTGGGCTAAGGTTTTTTTTCTAAAGGAACTTGCCTCCAGAACATCACCCAATTACACTGAGTGTAATGTGTATAGCACAGATATCTCTCTTTCTGTAAGCAACAGTCGCTTTTAGGCTTTGGTCCACATCTGAACACAGTGGGTGATACAGTGTAGTGTATATGGTGTTTTTGAAGTCAGAAGGCTGAGCAGTGCACAAGTTAGCCAGCAGCCCCAAAACACGGGATCTGAAGCGAAGAAATCAAAACCAGTCCTCAAAAAGAAAGAAAAGTTTATTTTTTTTCCACCACAATGTCTCACATTAAAACCTAAACACGGGAATAGTAATTATAAAATTCATTAGGCTATAGGAATTAATTACAAGATATGCAAACCTGCATGCATTATTTAAACACAAACAATAAAACCTGTTAAAACATGTTGTCTGTTGTCTCGTAGGGTTTGCAGATTTTTTGCAGAAGAAAGTTACAGTGCAACACCTGGTCAACAGCACTTTAAGACTTTAAGCCCTCGAGTGCGCTACTCTGTTTAAAGCACTGAGATTAACACCTTTAAATAGAACTGGAGGTGATACTATAGCTGTCAAGCGGGTTTTAGAGCATGTTGTGCATTGAGCTACTCACCGAAAGTCCGCGAGTGGAGTCCCGTTATTTCCGCGCGGTGCGTCTGAAGCTCCGCGGAGAAGGAAAAAGCAGGGAAATCAGCTCAGTCACAGCTTAGAGGCTCCCCTATGAGGGAAAACAAGCTCAAAACCGGCAACCTCACGCCGCTGTCTGTTTGAATACGAAAACACCGGGAGGAGATTTACTCACTCACCTCCTGGAACAAGCACATCCATGCGTTGTTGTTGTTTTTTTTTATTACCCTGCGAGCGAGGAGGATGGGAACAGTTTCTCGCGTATTACACGCTCCCAAGCAATGAGAGGCATGCATTTTAATTCCTGAGCGCTGACCATGAGGGGCACAACACTGCTACGCCCCTCAGCATCCTCACTCACACACTCTCACATCTGGATATTTTTTTTTTGTTTTGTTTTTGGCATGCATGTCCAGCTCATGCTGTTGTTCGCCTCCAGTTCATTGCTGCAGGAATGAACAATAATCGCACGTAAGGGTGAGAGATCCTCTCCCATTTCTCCTAAAATCCCACATCCATGTCTTGCAATGGTCTGAATTTACAGCAGAAATGAAAGCCTCACATCTTTAGATAAAATCTATTCTGCACACTCACCACAGGTGAAAGTTGGCAGTAAGTTACTAGGTGTTCCATCAATAAATATTCAATATTCTACCTTTCCGCACAGGATCACTGCAGCTCGTATCCATACATGCAGCTGACTAATAGGATAACAGAGGTGAGTGGTCAGTTACCGGCAGTGAGTAAGCAGGGTGAACTCAACTATGTTTAAGTTCACTCCGCCAGAACAGCCTGCTGGTCTGACTTATGCCCTTGGCCAGAAAGTACTTACTCCCTGCTCACATTGATTATGACCTTACAAAGCTGCAGTCTTTGTTATTTCAGTTTCACATTTATTAAAATGTATACCCAAAACATTGCAATGTCTGAATGCATGTATTTACAGAATAAATCAACAAATACATTTAAATTGGTTACAATAGAAAGTTACCTGTAGCCTAAAAGCTTCGATCTTCTTTCAGAAATGTTCAGTTTGTGGCTATTTTTGGCGCCCCCTGTGGATGAAAGTGTTACCTCTCATCTCTCTGCTGATTTTCTGTAGTGCCCAAGTAGTGTTTTCTGACAAAATATCTCATCCTGCTTAAATTTAATAGTCAAAGGTAGCCTATCACTCCATCCTGTGGTAGGCTACATGTACAAAAAGACTGGTAATGTTGATTGTTGATGTTGTTTGCTCTTGTTGCTCATAACAACAACTCTTGTCCGTTAACCAGCTAAAAACTCCTTACAGGAGCATTAAATGAACAGCAGTGCACCAATAAATAAAAAAAAGAGTATACTTTTTGTAACCAAGGAACCAAGGTCAAGACTGTTTACATGCAGAAGGTTACATAACTTTGCAGGGAGATGCTCTCTCTTTCACTTCTGCAAACACCTTAAAGCACCTTGACCTCAGGGTAGCCCTGCAAGCCATTGTTTGCATATAGATATGTTCATCATTTGATGGAACATTTCCTCTCCGGCTGAGATTGGCATGCTGTCTTAGGTTCAACAGATGGGTGGGCACTTGGCTGAATGGGGACTTGACAGGCCAGCTGAACATACATACAGAACGGAATGAAGGCTGCTGGCAGTGTGCGAGTGCGCGTGTGCGTGCGTGTGTGTGTGTGTGTGTGTGTGTGTGTGTGTGTGTGTGTGTGTGTGTGTGTGTGTGTGTGTGTGTGTGTGTGTGTGTGTGTGTGTCAGAGAGAGAGAGAGAGATTCGCTGTAAAATCAGGTTTTTTCTTGCTTTTGGTAACATATGCAGAAGTGATGGTGAAAATCGTTTCCATGGTGCTTTGCAAAAAAAAGGAGGCAGTAGCTCATAGTAATTTGTTTCCAATTAAAATCATTAGGGTTTCTTCTATTTTCATAAATAAAGGTTTATCTTTTCTTAAAAGTGAAATCAAGAGAAAAAATGAACTCCTGCCATCCGTAATTGTGAGGACACCACAAAGCTGATTTGGCTACCACTTAAAAAATCTCTTTTGTAAGAAATCATTTTGCATATGGCAGTTTGCTGGGCCTCTTTTCTCTTTATGCCTCATTGCATAAATGCAATTTACCGTGCCAGATAACTGACTGAGACTAATAACTTAAAGCAAAACAAAAGGTGCCTGATTTAGATTTATTCTAACCAGCGACACATTTTCTGGCTGAAATGAGAACCGGGGACTGCACACAGCCAGTGACTTAAGCTTAGTTCAGCTCCATGAATCACTTGAAAAGTTTGTCTCGGTTGAGATTGAAACTTTTCCAGATGACTTGGTTTACAACTTGAATGATGTTTTAAAAATTGCATGTGTTTACTACATAAACTATTCTTCTATGTGCCCCAGAGGAAGAATATGAATAAGAAAAGAACAATATAAATGAAGAGTCTTTTGACACAGCATGAACTTTGATCGTTATGCTTATACAGACATATGCGACTGTATATCATACATGCATTGTTGTTGATACATTTGTTCTTTTCTGGTTTTCACATACCTTAGTTCAGGTGATAGCCAGAGATTCAGAACCAAATTGAGATCGTTGTTTCAACAGAGAAACCAAAGAATCTGTCAGGTCTACATAACAATAGAGTTTTGTTCTGTTATTTTCATGTTTCATATCTTGTGCTTTCTTTTATGTTGATACTTACCCTGTGTCCTGTTTCAGATCCTTTGCTTCCTGCCCTCCCGTCTGTGTCTCCCGCGTATGTGATTACCTGATGTGTCTCACCTGTGTCTCTTCATTCCCCTTGAGTATTTAGTCTCCGTGTTCCCCTCCTTCTGTGCCAGTTCATCGTGTTCCTTAGAGACTCCGTTCCAGCTTTCTTGTGTATTTTCCTAGGTATTTTTTTCAAACCTGTTTCTGAATTTTGACCTGCCTCAGCCTGACGTTGTGGAAACCTTCGCTTGGTGATTTTTGGATTATTGTGTACCGACCTCCTTCTGAATAAATGGACTTTGTATCTGCTCAAGTGTTTGTGGAGTCGTGCATTTTGAACTTACCGAGGACTCTATAGGCTGTGTTTGCCTGCAGCCAATTGATTTTATTTGAGTTGTTTTTGAATTAGGCACATGTGTTTTGTTAATAAATATCTTTTGAAAGAGGGGCAGAAAGATAAAAATACCAAATACTGGCTTTTTTGTCTCCTTTTTTTTATTTATTTAAATGTTCAACAACATAAACATTTACAAACACAAGATACAGTATGAAAAGAAAAACGCGCAAACAAACAAAAACATAGAACAAGAAATGTCTGTGTGTGTTTATGTGTGTGTGCGTGTGTGTGACAGAGAGAGAGATTCGCTGTAAAATCAAGTTTTTTCTTGCTTTTGGTAACATATGCAGAAGTGATGGTGAAAATCGTTTCCATGGTGCTTTGCAAAAAAAAGGAGGTAGTAGCTCACAGTAATTTGTTTCCAATTAAAATCATTAGGGTTTCTTCTATTTTCATAAATAAAGGTTTATCTTATCTTAAAAGTGAAATCAAGAGAAAAAATGAACTCCTGCCATCCGTAATTGTGAGGACACCACAAAGCTGATTTGGCTACCAATTATAAAATCTCTTTTGTAAGAAATCATTTTGCATATGGCAGTTTGCTGGGCCTCTTTTCTCTTTATGCCTCATTGCATAAATGCAATTTACCGTGCCAGATAACTGACTGAGACTAATAACTTAAAGCAAAACAAAAGGTGCCTGATTTAGATTTATTCTAACCAGCGACACATTTTCTGGCTGAAATGAGAACCGGAGACTGCACACAGCCAGTGACTTAAGCTTAGTTCAGCTCCATGAATCACTTGAAAAGTTTGTCTCGGTTGAGATTGAAACTTTTCCAGATGACTTGGTTTACAACTTGAATGATGTTTTAAAAATTGCATGTGTTTACTACATAAACTATTCTTCTATGTGCCCCAGAGGAAGAATATGAATAAGAAAAGAACAATATAAATGAAGAGTCTTTTGACACAGCATGAACTTTGATCGTTACGCTTATACAGACATATGCGACTGTATATCATACATGCATTGTTGTTGATACATTTGTTCTTTTCTGGTTTTCACATGCCTTAGTTGTGTGTGTGTGTGTGTGTGTGTGTGTGTGTGTGTGTGTGTGTGTCTCCTGACACTATCTCAGTGCCCACTAAGACCCCTGTCAGAGTCTTTTAGTGAAGTGGCTGCTCTCTCCATGTTAAGCAGGTCAAGGTATACCTTCATGAAGCATGCTGGCTTCAGCTCCTTCCATTTAAGAAGTATCAGTCTCATAAGTGACAGGCACCCTAAGGCCCAAAGGTGTGTGACGACAAGATTAGTTTTATTCTCAGGCTCACTGCCTAAAATGCGAACAGTGGGAGATAAAGGAAGAACATTACGTAGGATCTCTGACATAATGCAGGGCCGGCCCGCGGCTTAGGCAGTATATGGTAGTATATGGTAGGGGCGCCAGCCATCCATAGGGGGCGCCCTGGCACCCGAAATAAGTGAGGAAGAAAAGTTAGCTAGTAAGTGTGTTTAACTACCACCAAATGTTATTTTAGCTAATGTAATTTTCATGCTATATCAAAAGAAGCCAAGAAAACATAACTACATCATCTAATTAAAAATGTCCCCTGCTCAACCTGATGCTTCACAACACCGCTGCTCGTTAGCTGCTCGTTGTGGGGGAGGAGGGCAGACGAGTTATCAGAAGTGAGTGACACTGACCGTACGGATAAATATCAAGTTTAAATGAAGAAAGTCTGCAAAAGGGAGTAGCAGAGAGAACTCCCATGATACCCTGCTGGCCTCGACGTCATCTTTTGTTATTGTAGTATTGAGAGCCCTGTGGCAGCGGAATCTACATATTGTATCTTTAAGTGAAGTTGGTTGTGGATTTGGTTGCAATACAAGAGGTACCAGCTAAAATCTTTCTGGGGCGCCAGTGTGTTCGGGGCCGGCTCTGACATAATGGCCTGTGTTTCTGAGCATAAAGACTAGACAGCTGGACATTCCCACGGCACTGAACCATGATAGCCATAATTTTGCTTTGATTTTATGTTTTTTTTATTTATTTTTGGGCTTTTGGGGCCTTTAATGGAGAGATAGGACAGTGGATAGAGCTGGAAATCAGGAAGAGAGAGAGAGGGGAATGACATGCGGGAAAGGAGCCACAGGCTGGATTTGAACCTGGGCCCCCCTTATTGGAGGATCATAGCCTCCATACATGGGGCGCGCGCACAAACCACTGTCCCATCAGCGCCCCAATTTTG